GATGCCTCCCCACCTCCTGTCCTCAGACCCACCTCCCTGATCCTTCCCCACCAGGATGACCCCTCCCCACCACCCTGACCCCCTCTCCACAGGCCGACCCCTCTCCACCAGGCGACCTCAGACCCACCCCCTAATCCTCCAACACTCTGACCCCTCCTTACCACGTAGACTCCTCCCCACCACCTTCCCCACAGACACCTCCACCACCACGCCACCCCCTCCCCATGCACTGATTTCCCAATCTGGAAGACAACCCCACCAAAGGGACATGCCATCCCTCCATGCTGTGCTGTCTTACCCACATAGCGGCTGTCTACACTGCATAGACCCCCTGCTCCCTGCTCACTGGGCTGCTCTCCCCAGCACAGACACACGCCCACCTTTTCCACCAGCTGCCCCCCAAAACCACCTCCCCACTAGTCCACGACTAGACACACACGGAGCTGGTCCTCCTCCCAACCTTGAAGACCTTCCCTATACCAGGGAGACACACTCACCACTAAGGCCTCATGCCCCTTCCTTTCACCACACTCACCTCTCTAACTCTACTCCTCCTACTGGTCCATCTACAGCCACGATCCCTCCCAGCTGCATAGAACACTCCCACACAGCTCTGAGCCCCTCCTTCCCACCCTGCACCCCCTCCACGGACCACCGCCCTCGTGCACAGCCCTTCCCACCATATGAACCAAGCCAACAGCTCTCTGCCCACCAAGTAAATTCCTCCTACCCTACCCTCACCATTCGCCCCCCCCGTTGCCCCACTGCAGACCCCCGCCTGACCTTCCACCCCATCACATCTGCCCCCCCTTTCCTCAACTGAAGCCCAGCCCCTAATCTCCCCTCTCACCTACCTGCCTCAACCCTACTTCAGGTGTGAACCGACACTTCCACATGATTTGTATCCGGGACAAGTTCAGCCAGAACATAGGACGGCAGGTCCCATCCAAGGTCATCTGGGACCACCTGAGTACCATGTATGACATGCAGGCCCTGGTGAGCTCTGACCCCTGACATGTCCACATGCCACCTCATGGGGTTACAGCTGCTGTCTCAGATGAGCTGCAAGCCTCCCTGTCAGAGTGGTTACCACACCCCCGCTCCAAGTGCAGTAGCAGAGCCCTACAGGCCAGACTTGGAGCTGCTGCCCTGCTGGGGGTCAGCCAGCATTAAGCCAGCTCTCCAGACAGGGCCTCCATTCATGATGCCAAGCCTGAGGGAGCCTGTCCACTGAGAGGTCCCTGGGGCTGGGCCCCTGCAGCTGGCAGGCAGTCCCTGGAACCACCACGAGGATGAGTAAAGGAAGTGTTCGTGGCCAAGGTCACATCACCAGTCTGTGGGACATGCTGGCACATAGGACACAAGTCAGCGTGGTGTCCCTCCAGCCCGTCTCCCTCCCATCTGAGATCTTGCCTGTCCAGGACCTCATCCTCTTTTGGGAGCAGTGACTGGTGATGGACAGGCCTCGTCTGAGGTCACTTCTATACTATGACTGGCTCCTGGGGAGTGGTGAGCTGCTGTGGGGTACCTCCCTCCAGTGTCCCTGCATTGTCGCCCCCCCCCCCAGGGATGCACCATCAGGTGGGCTAGTGCGATCCAAGCCTCGTTCATACTTCTTAGCGCCCATCTGTAGCATCCCACCCGCTCCAGGACACGGGGTGTTGAGTGCCTACCTGCTTCTGAAATTGCATTTTCTTCATTTCTAAAAACAACATCTGGCGCCTCTGGCCACCAGCATGAATCCGAGATCCTTCCCTTTCCCAATCCAGAAAGGAACTTCATCCTTCCAGAGGGGATTGTCCAGGAGGTCCGGGAAGGTGAGCTGCTCCGGGGTCCTCCTGGTGGGAACAGCCTGGCATGCTGTGGCCTTGCCCTGACCACGGGCTCGCCACATCAGCCTCACTCCACAAGACCCATCTCCCAGCTTCCATAAATGCCAGCGTCCCTCTCCACAGGAAAAGTGGTCATTGAGGAGGAGATGAAAGAAGAGACCAAAGAGGACGTGGACCCCCACAACGGGGCTGATGATGGTGAGTGCAGGGATCCCTGCCAGGGGACAGGGCCTCACCCCGCTAGACACCCCCAGTGTCTACTCACTTCCTGCCTGCCTCCCGTCAAACATTTCATCTTGATGGACAGTCATTTTTACTGGCCTGGTCTACTTTAGAAAGTGGCTTTGTCTGTCAGGCAGGAACGTCCAGTGATGCTTTGCTGACAGCATGTGGGACAGTGGGGTGGCACTGTGGCTTGGGATGCTGGTCAGGGAGACGTGGTCTTTTCAGTGTAAAACCCAGACACTCACACCACCAGCTGTCCTGACGGCTCAGCTTGGTCAGTAGGGACTGTGTGGACAGTCCTCTCGGTGTCCGGTCACACAGTCGTCAGGGCCTGGGTATGTGGAGGTGGCTGAGGGCAGTGATGCGAGAGCCGGGACCTCGGTCCACCATGGGACTGGCAACTGTAGCTGACCATCTGTCTCTTAGTGTTTTCCTCTTCAGGAGGCTTGGGGAAAGCCGTGGAGAAGTCCAGCAAAGAGAAAGAAAAGACCTCTTCAGACTTGGGATCCAAGGAAGGGGCCGACAAGCGGAAGCGCAGCCGGGTCACTGACAAGGTCCTGACGGCCAACAGCAACCCCTCCAGCCCCAGTGCTGCCAAGCGGCGCCGGACATAGGCAGCCATGGGATCGGGACACTGGCCGGTGGCACCCACCTCTGTGCTAGGGACACACCATTTGGCAAGGAAGCAGACGAGATTTTTCACAGTGCCCACTGAGACTCTGAGGGGACCACAAGGGGAGACTCCCAAAAGACTAGGGACAGGTCATCTCAGACCTGGAGGCTGCGTGGTCTCGGCAGGCCCTGGCACACTCTGATTCCTGGGCCACCCAGAGGCCTGGGGCCAAGAGCAAAGGCTTGAGCTGCAAAGCAATAAAAACGCCATTTCTCCTCTGTCCTCAGCATAGCCACCAGTCCTCACAGGCCAATCCCTCCTCTTTCCTTGTTTTTCCATGGCCTGGAGCCTTTATCCTGCAGAAACAGTACCCAGAAGGCCACCTCAGACCCCGTGTGGTCTTGGTACCCCCACGGAGCCCGTGCACGACCTGCCGTGCTCATGCACACTGTGACAACGTACACAACTGGGTGGTGGTTCTCTCGATTTCATTTTGAAGAAGACTATTTTGCTAGAGTTTTTATGAAAACGGCCACAGAAATTAAGCCTGTGTTGTATTCCCCCCTCCCAGAGGTTCGGTTTTAAGGTGATGAAACATTTTGTGCATAGTTTTTGTATTGCCAGATGTGGAGAATTTATAGCGTTATTTTTATATTTTTAAGTATTTTGCAAAAGGTGGGAGTAAACACACCCGGGGGTGGGCATGGCCCAGAGCCTGGAGATGTGCCTCTTTCCTGACTGCTGGCATTAAAGCACAAAACCCTCAACCTGGAGTCTGGCCACTTTGATTCCACCATCAGTTCACTTCTTCCTACATAGACATGTTTCTTTTTCAACTGTCTGCTCTGAGGTAACATTTGATACAATGTGGGGTTGAAACAGTAACAGGCTGAATAGTTACTTTGTTCACTACTAAGCACTTCAAATATAGGACATTATGAGAGGAGACAGGAAGAGGGGGGCTTGGCACCAATGTGATACCCTACTTCATTCATGCTGAACATTCCAGAAGCACTTGTTCAGCCATGCATAAAGGAAACAGGCAAGAGCCCAGCAACTACAAGTAAGATCAGAGGAAGGTATGCAGCCTCTAGCGGCCCAGAGCCCCTGGGTCCCGCATCTTATGAGACCCTGCCTGCCCAGGGTGCTTCCAGCCTCCACAGTCCCAGGATCAGAGAGTGATTTGGTGCTAGAAGCCAGCACGGATGGCCATGAGCCAGGTCACTTTAACATGGTCTAGTACTTGTCAATTTTATCTTGACTTCCTGCCACCCCTTACTTCCTCAGCCATCATCACAACCCTCGCAAAGCTGTCAAGACGCTAGCATTGAACATCCCCCTTCACAACAGAGGTAGTGGAGCGCAGGGCAGGTACCACACACACACACACCTTATACCTCCTAAGGGAAATAGTCCATGGAGACGAATAGATATCCCAAAACGAGGGGAACTATCAGTGAGATGCCAAGACGTCCTGCCAAATCAGCCATGGCATTCATTGGGGTTTGGAGAAGTCACCAGAGCCTTACTGGTGGCCTCGTGGGTTGCTGGACTACTAAAGCTTGTACAAGGCCATGATGGAGTCAAACACTGAGGTTTACAAGGTTTCTGCAGGGGGTTCTGCCACGTGCCTAAGTGGTGGTCATCGTCAGAGCTGCAGAAATTCTCTGGTCCACTTTGTGGGTGGCCAAGGGACCACCACTGCCAAGGCTCCCAGGCAGCCCCTCTCCCTGGTTTGCCAGTGAGAATTATGGCAGCGTCCAGGCCCATGTCAAGAATCAAAATAGAATCAGGCTCTGCCACAGCCTTCAGCTTCCTCAAACCCAGTGCCTCAGATTTTATACTGTTTTGTTGTTATATACCCTGGAGTTGGAGCCAACTCAGAGCTGACCCTCCAGCGGGTTTTCAGAGACTGTGAATCACATGGGAGGACATTGCCCATCTCTCATAGAGCAGCTGATGAATTCGAACCACCTGCCTTGTGTTTGCAGCTCAGTTCCTTACCACTGAGCCACCAGAGGCTTGTGCAGGATGCACTGTGTCCCACTCAGACTGTAGGCATGTACACAGGGCAAAGATGAAGCAGTGATGAGCGGCCCTTCATTGCCCCCCTTGAAGTGAACTACAGGGACTGTTTACTGGGGCTACCCTTTGTAATATGGGAAGTCTGCTGTTAGGGACCTCTCCAAAGTACTGAAGAGCAATGGTGTCTCTCTGGAGACTAAGGTGTGTCTGATACATACCATGGTCTTTGCTATCACTTGTTATGCATCAGAGAGTTGGACAGTGACTAAGGAGGATAGAAGGAGAATTGATGCCTTTGAGCTGTGGTGCTGGAGAAGAGTATTGAGGGTACCATGGACTGTTAGGAAAACAAACAGATTCCTCCTGGAAAGGGTTAAACCGGGTGGCTCCTTGGAGACAAGGATTCTGAGGCTCCGTCTAACATACTTTGGACATGTTGTGAGGAGAGACATCATGCTTGGTAGGGTGGAGGGACAGCGCAGGAGGAAAAGGCCCTGTATGAGGTGGATTGATTCAGTGACTGGGGTAATCAGGATGGGTGTGTTGGAGACAGTGCTATTGGCACAGGTCAGAGCAGAGTTTAGGGCTGTTGTACATAGTGTCGCTATGAGTCACAAGCGACTTGACGGCACATAACAACAACAACAACCCTTCATAAGCCACTTGACAGGTGGGTAAACTCCAAAAGTCTTCTGCTGTCTGATCCCGCTAAGAGGTTCTGACTCGCAGCCGCCCTCAGAACAGAGAAGTGCTCATGGAGTTTCCGGCTGTGACCTTTTGTGCAAGGAGCCCACCTCATCTCTCTCCCAAAGGTGGCCAGTGTCCTGGAGGCCACACTCTGGAGGTGTCCTGCAGCTCTGGCTGCTGCCTCCATTGCTTGGAACGTGGAGGTCTGCACCCCATCCCAGTGCCCTGTGATGGTCTCAAAGGCCGGCGGTGTGTACTCCTGAACTGTGGCCACTCTTGCAGGGACTCTGGCTTTATATGGGGCGCCCCTGCTCTGGGGGAGTTTCTGCGGAGTTAACAGAGATTGACAGAATGGCAGGATTTGAGGTGACACTCAGGAGCTCACGCTGTCTGAAGTGTGTAAAGGGAATGCTCTGTTCCAGCTACCTCACTGCCTATCACATCTACCCGACAACCTGCAGCTACCTTGGGTGGGAGACATCACCAAGGGGAAAGGGAGGGACTCTGCAGCGACGGGTGGTGGTCTTCTGAGAAGGCAGCATGAGCAGGGGGGACATCCTACATGGTGGGTCGTTCGGCACGGATGCACTCCGCGGTGGCTCAGCCTTCCTGGCGGCATCCTCCGGGGACGCATCCTGGGGCTGTTCTAGAGGATGGCGCCCGCCGATGGAGGGACCGTGGCGGCAGCGCGCAATGGACCCAGAGACCCCGGAGGCGACGCCTGGATAGCCTCTCGCTCCGCACCAGAAGCTGTTGCTGAGTACCTTCGAGTCGGAACCGACCCATAACTGAGCCTCTGGCGGGTCTTCAGAGGCGGTTTATTGCACAGGAGAAGACTGCCCATCCTTCGGTGGCCTCGAAGCTCTTGCCTTCCTTCGGGAGTGCAGAGCACCTTCTTGTCACTAGGTAGCACACAACCCAACAGAGCCCCGCCCTACCCTCACCAGACTCCGCCCACCCAGCCGCTCCGAGGCCCCGCCCACAGAGCCCTGCTCGCCCCGCCCAGCGGCCCCGGAGCTCCGCCCCCGCGCTTCCTGCGCTTTCGCTTTCGCTTCCGCCGCCGAGCGCGGAGCGGCCGCCGGTATGGACGACTCCGACTGCTGCGACTCCACCTGGGAGGAGGACGAGGAGGACGCGGAGGGAGACGCGGAGGGTCCAGAGAAGGGGGTCGACGCGGACGGGGACGCACCGGGGGACACGGACGAGGAAGACGACGACGACGACCAGCCGCGGGCGGGGCGACACGGCGCCTTCCAGGTGAGGCCCGGCCGGGCGCCCTCCTGCCCTGACCCCGGGTCCGCCCCGTGTCCACCCCCGTACCTCCTCTGCAGCCCCGGCCCCCAGTCAGCCCTGCGCCCGCCTGGCTCCCATCGCCCCCACATGCTCCTTCATCTCAAGGCCCGAGCCCAGCCCTGCACCCATCCCACTCCTGTCACCCCCACTGCCGCCAAGTC